TAGTATCTTATCAGGTGATTCAGTGATTAGTAACTTATCAGGTGATTCAGTGATTGGTATCTTATTAGGTGATTCAGTGATGGATATCTTATCAGGTGATTCAGTGATTAGTATTTTATCAGGTGATTCAATGATTGGTATTTTATCAGGTGATTCAGTGATTGGTATCTTATCAGGTGATTCAGTGATTGGTATCTTATCAGGTGATTCAGGGATTAGTAACTTATCAGGTGATTCAGTGATTGGTATCTTATTAGGTGATTCAATGATTGGTATTTTATCAGTGCTTCAGTGATTAGTATTTTACCAGGTGATTCAGTGATTGGTATCTTATCAGGTGATTCAGTGATTGGTATTTTTTCAGGTAATTCAATGATTGGTATCTTATCAGATGATTCAGTGATTGGTATCTTATCAGATGATTCAGTGATTGGTATCTTATCAGATGATTCAGTGATTGGTATTTTATCAGATGATTCAGTGATTAGTATTTTATCAGATGATTCAGTGATTGGTATCTTATGAGTGATTGATTTATGATCAAGTGATAGAGTTCTTACTGAACGATTGAGATTGCATTCAGTGATTGATTTCTGATAATAGCCGAGAATATTTCCTTCTTGTGTGAACCTCGGGCATTTCAAACTCAAATAATAACATTTTTGCTGATTTGTCATAAGATTTAATGTTGCCGGGAGTGGTGTTAAAGGTGATGGAGTCCCAAAGCCTTCCACTTGTTGACAAGGGAGATGTCTGCCTCATCAACACAGCCGGCAACCATGCTGCTATCGCCATAGGAACTGCTGCCATGTCAACAGGTCAAATGATGGCAGCAGGAATGAGAGGAAAAGGAATATTTGTGTACCATACATATCAAGACCAATTATGGTATGTTTTTGACGATAATAGTTAGTGTGTAGGTGCCATGGTCATTGTAACTGAGTCTTAGATGTGGGTCCCATACTACATATAACTACGCCTATGGATCAAATCATTTGTTTATTTACACAAAATTTGAATGCTTATTGCCATGACGACCATCAACTTTGAAAGTTGCATCCCACCATTGTATTTTGGCAAATCTTCTTCTTTCACCTGTTGATTGCATAGACCATTCAATCAGTTTTGCATGCTCAATTCACATGTAGAAACAATTGTGCAATTGAGAGCACAGCCTCTTTTATTGCGCTATGTTTCACTTTCAGGCAGCATGGAGATAAAATCCATTTACCAGTCATACCCATGGAAGTGCCTGGAATGAACACAATGGTAGAAAAAACATTTACAGAGATTGACACAGAGGAACTGAAAACTGACGATAACGAGGAGGTGCCAAATATTGAAGTTGACTCAGAAGAAAAAATAGAAACATCACTTAGTGAGATTGAAAATTTACGAATTGATGATGGACAAGATGAAGATTGTGATATTGAGGGCGCCGTTGGGGGAGAAATTGATGAGGAGTGGGAGGCGGCTGGTGATGAGAACCCCAGAACTCTTACAGGTTCAGTAACTTTATTATTTTCCCAATACTGTACTGTTAGAAAGCGTATGCAACAAGAGATCCAATCCAGGGTGCACTGGTGCATACATGCATATATACTTTGTGTTTGGTTCCCAGTGTGAAAAATAGCAAGGTTCTTATAGTTTCACTATGTTTTTCCATGTAATACTGTAAAATACTTTATTTTCACTTGGAATTAATTTTCGCTATTTTCGATGAAGGAATGATTCAGTGAAAATAAAATTTAGCGAATATACCTTAAAAGTATTTTCAGCGAAAATTAATTCCAGCTAAAATAAAGTATTTTACAGTATTCAGTCAGTCACATTGAAACCTTGTTCTCCAAGAACCTAAAAATAGATTTTAGAAGACATTGCATTACTAATCAAATTTTAATTTTTCTTCTAGAGCAAATGGATGACCTTTTACAAACATGTTTCCTTCATGCTTTAAAGACTAATGTTAATAAGAAAAATGATTTACCATTACTGACAAGTAAATTCTTTAGGAATCACCTTTTGCCTTGTTGGTATGTTAATCTATGTATTAGTTTGTTATTTATTTACACTTATGGTACACAAGAAATTTTGAAAATGTTGAATACCCCTGTAGAAAAATAATATGATGAATGATTTGACAGTTCTAATTTCATGTATTTCATTATGCTTTGTCAACTTTCTCAACAAATGTGTTTTTTTATAGTTATGTTTTTTCATAGTTACTAGTTTTCCACTCAAAAGTAGAATTTGGATTTGAAAAAAACAATGATTGAATCATGGTGCCTAAAAAATTTTTTTTCTGTTGCAGTCCTGCTGGCAGACAACTCGATGTGAAAAAATCAAGTTACAAGAAATTATCCAAATTTTTACAAGAAATGAAAAAGAAAAAATTTATAGAAATGAAACAGTTACAGAAAGGTGTCGATAGCATTACAGATGTGCATAAAGAACATCCAGAGTAAGTATTAACTGGCTGTCAGGGTCACATGATATTGTTATCAACCAATCAGAATGCTGTTGTTATTGGCGCTGTTCTCTTTGAATTTCTGATTATTGGTGATGGAAATGTGGAAGTGAATTACTGATATTGAAGTACAATCAGTTGGCTTTGATTTTAGAGGTGAATTGGCATGATTTTTTTTCTATATTTGTGTATTCACAATTTTTGAAAGGTGTTTAGGAAGTATTTAATTCATAGCACCCCCCTTGTGAAAAGCAGCAACCATGTTTTTTTCATAGAAGTGTCCTTTGGAAACTTATTTTGGGGGGGTGTCCCTAAAAAGTGGTAGCAAGGTGTAGATTTCGAGGGTTGTTGTACACAAACTCTAAATTTCACCGTTAAATAACGAAAATTTTCTGGTTTGAATATTGTTGTGTTTAATGAGTAAAACCAAATTCTAGTCATCCAACATTGTTAATCAAGGTGTTGTATTGTATTTATTTCTTATTGTACATAGTATTGCTTAGGAGTGAGTCATTGGAAAAGCTAGGGGGGGGGGGTGTTGGCAGAACAACTGTGCAACATATTTGTTTTCTTCACTTAGTTTTGTGCTAATTTTTGTTTTTTCAATATGCTACTTTTTTCCCTATTATTGAACCTTGCAAAATTTGTTTTCAAATGATTTTTTCCTGTGCAATTTTTTTTCCAATTGGCAAAATTGCCATCACCGCCCCGAGTTTTTAATGGTCTACCCTTAGTTAAAGGGTTAAGAATGCACTGAATATATATTTTTGCATAGTTTGTTGATTTTCTAGATAGTAACTTACGCAGGTCATAATTATGTTACTACTATATTAACATACCAATAAAGAAACAATTTTCCAAGTTATGTACTAATTTAAGAATAATTTCGCAAAATGATTTCAAAGGAAAAAAACATGATAAAATAATAGTTTACATGGTATAGTAAAGTTATGAAATGCAAAACATAAGAATATGACAAAATAAAGATTTCCACGAAATAATAGAAAAATAATTCGACAGTGTATATCTGCAATACATTAGTTGTATACAGTTCAATATGGAAATACATATGACTCATGTACAAGATATATTCTAATTCTAAATGATAACACACAAACTATAAACTATACAGCTATAATATAATAATGCCATTATCATCATAGCTAATATCACAAGTATTTTATATGTCCATATCCATATCAGAGTCCTCCGCTGTATCTGATTCTTCTGGGTCAAAACCAATAGCGACTTTATGTGGATTATTACAATCATCACCACTCATACATAAACAGGCATCTGTGCATGCCATGCTTTGTCTCGCACAACTGCAGTTTCGCTCACACTTTGATTTCTTGCACCCACATGTAATGAGTTCTAGAAGATCTTCAGGGGCAGGTGACTGTCATTAGTGTCAGGCTTCATTCTTTGCTTGTCTGCGACAGAAAAGTTTATGCCGCACACCATTCACATCTGCCGAGTCAGCTGTTGCATCATAGATAATTGTTATCAGAAGTTCTGTTGATGTCAGTTCTATCAGAGGTATATCAACATGTGTGCCAAAGTCCATAAGGCTTCCAAACTTGTCTGGGTTATTCCTGACAAGCTTCCATGGCTTAAGTTTGCCAACCCTTGCAAGACTGTTGGTGGAATCACATCCAGTTAATGTGTGTACTGCTGGCAACAGTTTACACAATGCATCAGACCTAGTGCATCAGATATGGAATGGGTGGGTATGAATCTGGATTTATCCTTCACACCAGTATGGAACCATAGTTCTTGGACAGATTCCAAGGAGTGATTGAAGTAGACACAGAGGACTGCAACATCAGTATCTGGAGACCACACCACGTCTCAAGACTATTCTGAAGCATTTGCAACATGAAGTAAAAGCCTGGTATCTGTTTCTTCATGTGATGAGAATAGATCGTCGACATCAACAACTCCACCAGTAGATGCCATGCGAGCAATGAGACCATCCTTGAACCCTCCTGCAACTATAATTTTCTCATCTGGTTCAAGTAACAATTGTGCCATTTTGCACCATGATTCTGATAAGAAGTCTACCAGTTGTTCTTTATTTCTAGGATTACCAATATACTTACTCCACTGTGTTGGTATTGGTGTGTTAGGGCCATGGATTTTAACTTCATAGCTCTGTGAGGATTACCAATATACTTACTCCACTGTGTTGGTATCGGTGTGTTAGGGCCATGGATTTTAACTTCATAGCTCTGTGAGGATTGCCTTCGGGCTCTCTCAAAATCCTTGATGGAATCTTTTGCATCGTATCTATCGAAAACGATATCTACTCTTGTACAGCATTCATATCTCTGTAGAGGTTGGTGAACTATTTTGAAAAGCACCTCAGCTAGTTCTCCGAAGCAGGATGCACCTCCTTGTTAAACCATCTGCAGAATAGCCATGCCGTCTATCATCCATGCTGTTGGATTGTTGGATGCTGGCAATTGGTGTTGTGATTCCGCTTCCACTGTCTGCTCTCCACCAACCTTCTTCTTTATTTTCTTGCCCATAGATGCAAATGTGTTTATGTTATATCTATTCTATCCTATTCTGTTTGTATTTAGTCTGTCTT